AAAAAAAAAAAAAGATTCTTCATATGTAGACTAATGAGGAAACAACCAAAGTGATGTACGTAACTAAATGGCTTTGCTTTCCCTCAGTATGTTTGAAAAGACTTGTGTTTGTGTATATAAAGACCAATAAGCATCACTCTTTCTTTTAAAACATCAAATAAATATAAATAATCCGCGCTGGTTTTTGAAGTGAGGTCATGCATCATCATCTGCTAGAGCAACAACACTGAAGCTCCATTAGTGTTGTATAGAAACTGAACTGATCTCAACAACAGCTTGTGGAATCCACAAGGATTTGTTCCTCCGTGCTGCTATTATTATCTAACTAACTTGGATCAAACCTTTGTTCTGTTTCTCACCTCACCACAAATGCATAAACTTGTTTTGTGTTTACAGTTGCACATTCCCTGGCATTTTCCAGCATGTGTTACACAATTTGCAGCAGTCTTAATGCATGTATGTGTATTCTTTTAGCGTCTTTAAACGCACCAGCAGCAGTTGGATCTCTCTATAGGCTTCTTGCCACAGTGACAATGGAGCACCTCAGAGCACAGGAGCCAAAACATGTCTCTGCCATTCATAGCTCACTTCCAAGCCACTTTATTTTTGCAAGAAATCATTTAAATCCTCACATGTGGTTGGTTGCATGTTGCACATAATATTTTGATCACCAAAATGTGTCTCATTTAGGCTTTTGTGGTCAGCTGATTTTCTATTGTGCATCTGTATAAAGTTAAAATCAAACACACTTCACAGGCTTCCTCCGGAAGCACAAAAAATAAAAATAAATCTATTACGTGGGATTTTGAAGTCTGATGTTGTGTTGGGTTCATTGTTTTGGTTGAAATAGTGAGCAGAAGGATAATGAAAATCAACAATCCAACAATTGGGACAAGGACACAGAAATTGTTCATGTGTGAAAGACAAACTGTGGAGAATGTCTGGACCCTATTCCCCAGAGATCCTCCACAGGACACATCTGAAAACGGCTTTCAAGATTATTAAATGTCAGTAGTAAAAATAGGTCATGGAACAGCTTAAACATCATGAGAGCAGGCTCAATGTATAGAATGATGTAAGAGGGTTACAAAGTTTGTTATTTGGTCATAAAGCTGGTTCATAAAATACAGCTATGTTTCCAGCAAAGACTCCAATAAAAACCTATAGGGGTGCTGTCATCCCCTCAGCTGTCTCACATCCTGTGTCTGTGCCACTCCCTCATTATTTCTACCATGCATCAAAGCTGTATCCTCTCTGTGTAACAGTGTCTAATAAAAACTTAACTACCTTCCAATACATACATTTTAGAGAGGGTTTCTCCTTTATGTCAGCGTCTGCAACAAACATCCAACAATGATTTAGTAATATTTGGTATAAAGAGTCTGCTGTCCTCCCACCTCAATATGTCCATGGTTCTGATCCTGATCAGAGCATGGAATAAGCTCAACATTGAACTTCAGATAAATAAATAGATCTCATAAATAGGCTGTTTTGAATCCAACTGCGTCTCACTCCATCTAAACATTCAACATTATTATCAGAAAAACAGACACATTCATGCTGTGAGGAGAAGCTGTGCTCTCCCTACATGTCCTCTGATTGCACCATCAGTCAATTGGCATGTGTAGAAACTAGAATACATAGTAAATACATAGAGTAGATACAAAACAAATAATTTCAGAGTGCTTTACATGGACAAAGAATTTTTTTTAACAATCTACAGTAGAGTTTGGTTACATGTTTTACAAATGTAATTCATTGGTAAGCTGGAAAAAATAATGTTTGAAAGTCTTAATAAAATGAACTGACAGTCAAAGCCGAACTCAAACATGTTTCACACATGGGGAGAAACTAAAAGCTGCTTCACTTTGCGTGGTTCTGACTCTGGCAACACTTCATAATGTACAAGTAAATCAGGTCCAAGAACCCTTTAGTGATAATGCTTTTAAGACAAGTAAGATGATTTCAGAATCTTTTTCAAAAGAGGCCAGTGCAATTATTGAAGTTCAGGTGTGATGTTCTCCACTTTTATTTGTGTTAGTGAGGACTCGCTGTCTGGTTGTTTTTTGTTTCTTTTTCTAAAACCTGTGACGACACTGTTACAAGAATTTCCCCTGCTGAAGATTTTCCGTCTCCTGTTAAGACATCCTTTAATCTGTGTTTTCAAGGTTGGATGATATTTTGGTGTTGAAATTTTTTAGCATCATGGATTCGGGCTGAGTATTGAATTTTAATCTGTTTTTAATCTGGGGCCAAAAATAATTGTTCCTTTCTTTCCCTTATCTCGTACCATATCCATCATGAAATGAGATGTAAGTGAAGCAGCTCAGCAGCTGAAACTGATTGATTTGCATCATGACTTTGCAGTGAACAGTCTAGATAGCAGGATACACTGCTTAAGAAAAAAGATAACAATCAATCCTTCCAGTGGGAGAAGGTAGGTGGGGTTGTGGGAGGAAAACAGGGTGTTACAGGTCAGACAGCAAACTAAAATTAAGTTGGATAATCACAAGCTGAACAAGGAACCTGTACAAACATTTATTTTGATAGTAAGCCAGTAATATATTATATAGTATATTTTCCAAGTAAATTTGCATTACTGGCCATCTTGGCCCAATAGAAATATAAATCATATGGCTATCAGTTCCCTAACCATCCTATTTTCCATCATGATCCATGAATGGGAAAGTAGGAGTAGGTTTCTGAAAAAGATTCCTGGATCCGCCCCCGATCAGGTTCTGCACCAAAATTTTTAGGGAACTTCCTTGACTCACACTACATCATTCTACCATGTTTTTTTGAAGTCCATTGCCTTGCTTACAAACATACAGACCAACCATCTGACAAATGAGGTGAGGAACAGTGCTTGAAAACACATTGCTTGGAAACTGAACTACTTTGTTATGTACGAGAATTATGGCAACTTAATTACCTGCAGAAACAAAGGTGATACTTTGTGGAAAATTCAGAGCTCTTCTTCTTTTAAAGAAAAGTAATTGATGCAACAACTCTGCTCCTTTAAGTCTGTCAGACTGTGGTACACTGTCACAGGCCTCCAGGGTTCTCTCGGCATGCACTGCTGCCTGGCTGCATCCACAGTCCCACTTCATCCCAGCAGCAGCATCTGGAGCCTGAGTGGAGCTACCTCACTGTGACAGATCATCCAGTGAAAACACTACTTCACCAAAAAAAAATTCTGTCTTTTTCAACTATTTTTTTGTATTTTTTTCAGTTAGATTTTAGAACTGGCCGAGCCATTTCTAGTGAATGAAATACCAACATGTGTTTACAATTCATTTTCTTAGAGTATTATCAAGCACACACTGACAGGAGAAGAAAAAAGGCTTTATCGATTAAATAAAAAATAAATTATAACTCAGCTCAGCTGCAGTAGTTGAGGTGAACTGGCAGAATGAGGTCATAGTTCTACACACAACTGATTGACCGTGAGCAGTGAGAGTGGGGTTGTATGAAGACACGATGGCTGCTTGCACTGACCCGCATGCGGGACTGTCAAGTCTTAACACACTCGCTGAGCTTCTGCCAACAGAAACAAGGCCACCATAAATAATGGTCATTAACTTAGGCTGGATGTCACGTGGGCTCCTATTCCTCTGCTACTATCAATATTTTGTGTGTTAAGTGTAGGCAAATTACTGCGGTGAGTACGGTCCCTGTTTCACTTCCAAAAAGAT